AGGGCGGTCGTTGATGAGTGAGGCAAAGTGCACGCCAAACGAGTCTGTGTGTGTGTGTGTGTTTGTCTTGGCTCGATTACTGCTTCGCCACAACAAGTTGGCCTGTCTTCACCAGCTGCACTTTGTCGCCTCGGCAGTTCTTTGCCCCAGATGTTCAGTGGTGGAAGTGGTGATGGGAGTGACCTGTTTGGTCCATTGGCGCCCAGCTGTTGATGCAGCAATTTAGGCAGTTTGTTGTTCGCACTGAGCAACTGTGATAGCATTCCATAGGTGGCGCCACAAGTGGAGCGCGTTTTCAGTTGCAACTTTTGTGTCGCTCGTTGTTTACCTCGTCTGATGCCGGCGTGAGCTGCTGCCAATTCTCTCTCTTTTTCCAACTTTCAAACGCCATCAAGCCCCGAGAATAAGATGTTCTTTGAGTCGTTCCAGCAGAAGTTCAAGGAATCGGTGGACCAGCTGATGGAGTCGGCGGCCGCCTCCAGCTGTGCCCCCGAGCTGGTCAGCTTTAAGCCGGTGTACACGGTGCTGGAGGAGCAGACGCGACAGCACTACGAGAACGACATCAAGGTCCTCATTGACACCATCATCCGCGAGACGATGATCAAGCTGGCATGCGTAAGTTTTTCTCTTTTCTATCGGAGCACTATTTCAGCACTAAAACACTGTTCTTTGTTTGATCAGGAGCGCTCCATTCGAAATGGCCAACTGGAGACGCTGCTGAAGCTGTCGATTGAGCTGGCCCGCGTGGAGGAGTGCTCGGTCAATCTGCCGATCATCCTCCTCGGCGAGCTCTTCGACTGTCGGACGCTGGCCGAGTGCGAGCTGCTCTTCTCCGCCGTCGACCGCAATCTGGCCACCTGGAAGGAGGAGCTCTTCTTCAAGAACGTCAAGAACCACCTGCTTCGCATCTGCAATGACCTCCTCCGGCGCCTCTCTCGCAACCAGAACACCGTCTTCTGCGGGCGCATCCTCATCTTTCTCGCCAACTTTTTCCCCCTATTTGAGCGGTCCGGCCTCAATCTGACCTCGGAGTTTAACCAGGACAACTCGACGACCTACGCGCTGCAGGCCGAGGAGGAGGGCGGTGCTGGAAATGGAAATGCAGAAAACAACAACGGCAATGCCAATGCCAACACTGACCTCAACTTTTACCGGAAGTTCTGGCAGCTGCAGGAGTACTTTCGCAACCCGACCGTCTGCTACTCTCGCGGTCGCTTTAAGGCCTTCCAGGGCCACTGCACCGACGTGCTGGCCGTCTTTGCCGGCAACAAGATTGACGCCGACTCGGGCTTCTACTTTCAGACGCTGTCTGGTGGGAAGGGACAACAGCCAGGTGATCAGCAAGAGGACCAGGACC